ATATATATTATATATGTATATATATGCATATATCTGTATACATATATATATATATACGTATATATATATATATATATATATATATTTATGTATGTATTGTATATTATATATATTAAGTGATCTACACGCCCGAGCAGGGCTGATAAGCCTGAGGGAGAGGCGCGGGGAGGCCAGTGCAACACTCCATAGACAGCAGAATCCCTCAGACATTGTTTGATATTTTGTTTTCTTTCTTTTTGTTTCTTTCTGAATTCTCCTTAGTACTGGTGCTGTGGGCCGAGGGCTCTTTCTTAAGTATTCTTCGCGCTGAATAAGTTGCATTAAGAATACTTGAAGACATACACCGGGGAAACAAACAAGTAAATTAATTCTTTATTCATAGAGGGAAAGAGCTACGTGCAGATGGGGCCGCCTGTGTGTGAATGCATGCAGTATCTGCAGCCGCTGGAGCGGCTGCATTTTTTTGGTCATTTTATCTTTTTGAATGAAATAAATTCCTCTTTTTTTCTCCTTTTTCATGAGCAAAACGCTCATTAAAGTAGAGGGATTCAAATGAGGTGTACAGACACAAATGGCAGCAGCTGCCTCTGCCTCTTCTCTTTCTTTCATTGATTGGCTTCGCCTTTTGCTTTTAAAGTTTTAAATAAAAGGTTTTAATTCATTGTTTTTCGTTCAATATCTACGTTTGTCTTTCACCTACGGCTCAACTTGGCGCCCTTTCTTTACTTTCTCCATCGCCCCCCGACGCCTCTTGGGGTGTATGTACACTGCATTTGTGCATCCCTTTGCAGATTCTTTGTTTTTTCGTCTCTTTTGCTTTTCACTCACCACCGCATTCTTTTCTTTTGCCACGGGGTGTCTGCCCAGACACCGCATCGGTAGGCCGTACGAAGTAGCCACGCGCCCTTGGATATATTAACTATTGACCTTGTCGTACCGTAGCAGCAGCCCCAAGGAGTAAAAGACAGAAGGAATATATCTGATTCTCGCCCCCGAGGAACGCGAGCGTTAGCAGCAGCAGCAGTAGCAACAGCAGCAACAGCAGCAGCAGCAGCAAAGGCATGCATACAGAGTCTTGGACTTTATAAGAATTTTTTCTTGGGGGGCTTTCTCGGGTGTAGTTGTTTAAGCTGCTGTTTTTGCTGCATTTGCGGTGTATGTACAGCACGATTTGGCTATATAAACTGCAGATTTCTTTCTTTTCTTTAGGTAGTTTACTAGGGTCAAAGGCACATCGGTGCGTTTTGCTAGTTGTTTGATATTTGCTGCATTTGCTGCATCGCATGCATGCGTCGCCGCTTCGTGCGGCTTTGTTCTCTGCTGCTACTGCTGCTGGTGCTGGTGGTGGTGCTAGTGCTGCGAACGGATGGCACGCAGTAAAGAGTACTGCTGCAGCTGCAGCTGCGGCGGGGGCCGGAGCAGCAGCAGGAGCAGCAGCAGAAGCAGCAGCAGAGTTCGTGAATGCATGCGCTGCAGTTGTTCAGTTTCTTCTGTGTGTAGATGCAACCAAGCATATCCTTTGTGGCGTTTGAATCGTAGCTGGCGTGGGGAGTTGCTGCGTTTTGGGTGTACGATATTATGTTTATTATTAACATTTTATTGCATTAGTATGATATCTGTCGTCTCCGATTCTTTCTATGATCCTGAGCTTCAGCCGCCGCTTCGAGATCGTATACATAACGAATTATTAGGAGGAACGCCTTTACCTCGATGGGTGTCTACGCTTGTGAATGCGATAACGTTCTTTTGTGTATTTGTTACTGGCGTTCGCCACCTTCTTTTGCTGCCGTTTCCTTTAAATTTTCTTATACTTTCTCGTTTTTGCTTTCTTATTCTTCTGGGTTTCTGGCTGCGTGCACTTGTAATTGTCGTTACTACTGTTCCCCCCTCAAAGCCAAACTGCATGCCTCATCATCCTTCAGATGCTGCTTCTTTCTTTTGGAGAGCCTTCTTACAAGCTACAGGAGAAGATTTAGAGTGTACAGGGATGATCATCTCAGGACATTCGCTTAATATTATGCATAGTGTTATGTCCTGGGCTTTCTATGGGCGCTGTCTTTCTCCTCAAGACACAAAAAGCAAACGGAGCCCTTTGTGCTGCAGAGATGCATGCAGCAGCAGCAGCAACAGCAGCAGCAGCAGCAGCACATGTGAAGAAACTTGGAGATATACCTTTCTTATGCAGTGCTATACCTTCATTCGCACATGGCTGCAACTTAGAAAGAACGGATGCAGCAACCCAGCAGCAACAGCAGCAGCGCGCTCCTTCGCTTACCCTCCTCTTGCTGCCGATGAAGACGCAGCAGCAGCAGCAGCAGCAGCAGGAGCAGGAGCAGCAGCAGGATTAGGATCGGGGCTGCAGGAGGAGCAGCAGCAGCCGCTTCCGAGGCGCAGCAGATGGAAGCAGCTGCTGCTGCTGTGCTGGCGTTTGCCTTTGCTGAGATATCTCTGTTATTCTTTATCTATTGCTACGTGGATTCTTATTCCCCTCAGCTTCAATCATTATACTGTCGATGTGCTGCTGGCGTTAATGTTTGGGTTTCTATGGTGGGTTGCTTATCACCTTATTCTTACTATTGAGCTCGTGAATAAGAGCAGCAAGACTGCTGCTGCTGCTGCTGCAGCAGCAGCAGCAGCAAATGCTGCTGATAATGATACCAAAATGCTGCAGGAACAACCGCATCAACGCTCAGGCTGCTGCTGTTGCCAGCAGCGAAGACACCAAGCAGCAGCAGCAGCAGCAGCAGCAGCAACATCAGCGGCTCCCCTAGAGAACAACAACCCCATTAACAACCTCGCGCACCCTGTGCAGCCAGTAGTAGCAGCAGCAGAAGGAGAAGCATCAGCAGCAACAGCAGTCCTGAACATCAGCAACAGCATACAGCGGGACACTGCGCAGGAGACCGGCTCCAGCTTAGAAGAGCTGCAGCACGATGCAGCAGCAGCAGCAGCAGCAGCAGCAGCAGATTCCCCGCCAGACAGAGCAATTATGTGCTGGAAGAATGAGGAGAATGGTGGCAGCAGCAGCAGCAGCAGAGGTGTAGCAGGGCATACAGGCAACAGCCCCAAGGGGTTCTGCTGCAGCTGCGGGTCTTCTTGCTGCTGCTGCTGCTGCCGCTGCTGCTGCTATCCTGGGGACTTCAGCGCATTCAATTTGCACTGGGTGCTAGAGTTCCCTATTCTACAGCCTTTTAGCTGGTGCATCCGCAAGCTAGAAGGCATCTAAGCAGAAGCAGCAGCAGCAACAGCAGCAGCAGCACCTGCTGCTGCACTTCCCCTATCCCTGCTGCAACGACTGCTCCTGCAGCAGCAGTAGCAGCAGGTACTGCGGCGCAGCAGCACCCTCTCTAATAGTAGCAGCTGCAAAAGCAGCATCCGTGGCATTAGCAGTATAATCATATGCAGCAGCAGCAGCAGCAGCAGCAACGGATTCCATTGGTCTTCAGAAATGCAGGAATGGCTCCAGAGTCAGTCGGGTATGCAGGGTTTAGGGTTTGAGGGCTTCACGAGCCTGTTGCAGGAGCAGCAGCAGGTGCTGCAGTAGCAGCAGCAGTTGCTGCGGTAGCAGTAGTTGCTGGTACGACACAGCATTTCTTTCTTTCCTCTCGTTGCCTGCTTCTTCCACTGACTTGCATGCATAAATGCACCTACTCTATTTGCTTCCAAAGGAGGCAGCAGCGATAGCAGAAGCAGCAGCAGCAGCAGCAGCACCAGCCGCTGTCGCAGCAACTGCTGCGACAGC